GGGCACTTTCTCAGCCTTCAGGGTTCAGCCTAAAAGCAGCCTCCTTGGAGGTCAATAAATACCTGCTCTATGGTGAATGAATGAGCTCACCTCTCTCTCCACCCTATTCTGTGCCCCATCCCAACCCACTGACACTGCACCGGTTCACTCTCATGGAATGCGTGGTCTGTCCTTTTAGGGTGACTCAACCCTATAATCAGAATCATAGACTTGGACTGTACACAATTACGATTTAAACAAATGTTTATTCATGGCAATTTTCAAAGAACTCTTAATTTTACATTTGTTGTGGTTACAATGAGGAATATAAGGCCCAGAAATGAGAAGATGATAAAATGTCCTTTTGCAATAAAAGGCACAAGTGTTTTCTGGAAAGCACGTTTATCCTCTTTGTCTTCATATCTGTTTTACTTGTTTTTCTGTATTAGTGTTTCCTTTCCTTCCATCTCCTGAAGGTTCTAGCCTATGATTTCGGTTTCTTTTTTCTTTTCCCTGCCGAGTCCTCCTCTCTCCCTCTCTCTCCTGCCTTCTTTCTCTCCTTCCGTTTATAAATGTTCTCTATTGCTTTTAATTTAAATCAGGCTTAGGTAGAGCAACTTCACAGCCTTCGGTGTGATGTCAGTTCTTTGGTTTTTGAAAAAATCAGAAAATGTAGGTGTTGACAAAACCCACTCTGGAACGTCTCTGTAGACAGAACCGCAGTGCCATCCTCGCTTCTACTCCGTTACAGTCTCTATTTTGTCTCTAGTTGGTCAGTTGGCCTGTAGATCTTAGAATTCTGAATGCAAGGGGAAGCTTTTCTAGCCAGTCCTGGATCAGGAATTGTGTTGTATATATCGATATCATGCCATTAAGGAAGATAAAAATAGTGACCACTTGCTCTGTGTTTCTTCTCCGTGTGTTAGGAGAGTCCATCGGTTTGAGTATTGGGTCAAAAAATCACACTGGCTTTTCGACACCTCTCAGATGACCACTTATCAAGCCCCAAAGGACTTCTTTGTTTAAAAGATGAATTCTGTTTTATTTCCAAGTCTTCCTGCCTTCCCTTTGCGAAGGACACAGATCTTGATCTTGGCATGTGGGATGTCCTGAGGGCGACTTGGCTCCACCCCGGCTGTAGGGTGGTGAAAGTTAAATTGGACAGTATTACTTTTCATTGTGAGGAACCCCAAGCATTTTTCCCTTAGACATGGTCAAAGAGAGGTGCCGCCAATTTACTGAAATTATACTCTGACCCAGAAGGAGCCACAGGCACGGTTCTCACCGTGTGAACTGTGTATTGCCCAAAATAACATGCTTATCCTGTTGACTCACTTTGGGAGAGTAGGTGACATAATTAGGAATTATGTAGGAATATGTGACATGCTGTTGCAAAGATTGATTTCTTTAATCATTTACTAAGGGATTTTGGGGCCAAAATACTCACAGTCTTATTAAGCAAATAAATCTAATATAGAAACCTTTACAACAGTTGTGTCCAAGAACTTCTGAGACCTGTGATGAGGGGGGAATAGAACTACTGTCTAAATAATCACAGAATCACCAGAAATTTCAAAAATAGATGCATAAAATGTGCTTCCTGAGGTTCATCTACATGCCTCTAATTCAAAGTGATTGTTACCTTAATAATAATATTACTTATATGGCTTAGATTAGCTTTTCTACCGGACCAGTGGTTCTTAACCAGAAGTATGTGTCAGAATTATGTAGGAAGTCTTTTTCAAAACTCCACCTGCCAGGGGCCCATCCCAGACTATTGAATGTCAATCATTTATATTGGAAACTGGAAACGTTTACGTGGAAAAAGCCCCACAAAATTATGAAGCTTCTGGTTTCAAAACAGTCTGAGGACCACTAACTAACTCCTCCTGACTGATACTGGGCATAGCAAAAACCACGGGCAACACCTCTTTGTAAACTTAGCATTTAATGTGGCCCCTGGTTTGTAGATGTGAGCTCAGTAAATGGTCATTGAGGAAATGGAGGCAAATTATCTAAAAAATTATACCATGTATTTTTTTACCTGCTCATCCTTTTGAATTTCTACCAGCTAAGTCCATTTAATAGCTGACTAGAACTTTGAAAATATCCTTTGGAGGGAGGTGTCTTCTAAAGAATTACAAAGCATTCTGTGGTCTAAATGCTTAGTAAGTAGATAGATATAGATTTTAATAATAATGTGAAAGTAGAGAACATAGCAAGGGTGTGAAAAAACACTTTTATAATTACTGGTATCTAATTTACCTCTATTATTTCATGTGAAAAATGTCTTTTCAGATAAGAACTCTGGCAGCATCTCAACATTGTACTAGGTTCCATTAGCCTATCAAGGTTAATCACAAACTGATAAGCAATTATTTCTTTAGTAAACTGGAATTTATGCATTCAGATAATTGCTGTTTTTCCATGCTGGATGATAAGACCTTCTGGAAACTCCTCTTTGGGAACTGGTTTTCTGCTTGCCAGCTGTCTAAGGCTTATTTCTGGCCACCAAGGAAGCTTCGGTAAAGGAGGTACGACAAGAAACCATCTGATACATCTGATACGTAAATTAATCAGAGCATGCTAGGATACGAGGTATATCCAGAAGGTATCCAGTCATGTCGTATGAAAAATAGAAACATTTATTAAAGAAGATACAAGGTACAAGAAACATTGTATATAAGACAATGATGCCTCAGTCTCCTTGAAAGTAGGCACCTTGGGACCTCACACAATTCTCCCATTTGCCATCAGTTGCCCCGTGGTACTATCCTAAATCTCACTGATGGTCTGAAATCTCTTCCCTTTCAAAGGTGTGATTTTAGTTTTGGGAAAAGCCAGAAGTTGCAGGGTGCCAAATCTGGGCTGAGTCACCTGGGTGATTTGATGTTTCACCAAAACACTATGAACGAGATGTGATGTGTGAGCAGGTGCAATGTCATGATGAAGCTGCCAATCAGCAGTTGCCATGTGACAATGTGGCCTTCTGAATCATCTGAATAGTTTTTGTGGAGGAGTATTCAAATTAAATGCAAAATTTGATGCAGATTCATTGCTTTACTCACTCAGTCGTTTTGAATGCAATGGCCACACAGTCTACATGCTCACTCAACGATGTCTACCACCCTCACTGACTAGTCCATTGAAGTAATGGTTCATGCATGTGCATTCCAGTCCCCGGTTACATGAATGTCACACAAACCATTCCTGTTATATTAACAACGGCTGAACTTCTTCTGGACAGACCTTGTATAATCCAGCCTCGATGGACTGTTTGAACTCAGAAGAGCTGGAATATTGAGGAAAAGCTCACGAATGAGGTGGAACTGAGCAGGGAGATGGAAGAAAGTGGAGCATCCCAGGCAGAGGGGCCTTGTGGAAACGTCTGTAGACTTGGGCTGAGCAGGACGTGTGAAGATGGTTGGAAGGGGTGCGTGGTGTCTGCACAGTGCGGGGCTCTGTGGGAAGAAGCAGAAAGCTCTCAAGAGGAGGTGCTTTTGCCTAAACCGCCCTGTTCCTTCCATCCTAATGCTAGTTCACCACGAAGTTTTCCGTAGGAAATCTTTGGAAGAATGCGGCTGGTCCCTGTGGATGTACGACATCCTTCAGAGTCAGAGCTGCAGTGCCTCCCTTTATGGAGACGCCAGAGGCACTGGTCTCCTCATTCCAAACTGGAAGCAGAGGAGTGTCTTCCTTCCGCTCTGGCCTCCATGAATTGCCCATCATGACCTTGATGCTTGTGGGCTGACATAAATCTTTTGCTCTGTTTTGAGCCTGTCTCCTGCCGGTGAAAATGACCTCTTGCACTAATGTGAGACTTTGCGCTTCGCAGGTTCCTGGTCTCTGATGTCCCTCAGAACATGACCAGTTGTTGACCATGCTGCCTTGTTGCTGGAGGCCATCTCATTGTACGCCTGTGTCCAGCTGTGACCATAGAGAGCACCCTGTTCCAATCTGAAAAGAGCCCCCGTTTTGATAGTGAACCCTGTGGTCACCCTAACTTGGGGCTATCATCCGTACTTAAGACATGAGGATATTGGAGATCAGAGAGGCATGACTATCTGGAATCCTTCTGCCACCTTTGCCTCGAGCGCTTTTTTATGGGGAACACAGGAGTCTTCTCCCAGATGATGGAGGTGTTCATTATAGCTTGTTTATTTTGAAGTTAAAAATTATACATAAATAAGTGAATATTCCTATTAGAAAAAGAGACCCTGTCTTAGTGAAATAATGATTATCATCATTACAGCGTACTTACAGTATTTCTTTATTCCAGTTGGAGGCTATATTTATTTTATATTTATTGCTATTTACTATCTATAAATAGCTATACTAGACAAAGATCGCTGAATGATAAATACGACACATTGATGATACTGCAATCATATTCAACTACAATTGGTCCTATAATATTAGACGGTTAAAACCACGTAACTTAAATGGATATTGTGTAGCCGGATTGGTGATCAAGTAAGGTATTCAGTGATAAACCCACCACAGAATATGAACCCCCATTGCATGCCCTTCTGTGTAGGTGCTGAGAGCTGTTCGGGCAGGCTGGTAATGGGGGTCAGGCTTGGGGGATATTTAGTGCGGTGACTACCCCAAGTACCCAGCAGGAAGAAGAGTTGGGAGATGCAGGCAGGTGGGTTCCTGGGAGAAGGCGGGTTTAAACCAGAGAAGCTGAACTCCAACATGGTAGCTCAGGGATAGACTTGGGGGACAAAGTGGCCCCCAGAGAACAAGGGCAGGAACATTGCAAAGGCATGTAAGGTGATGACTAAAGTTATGGCCGCTCCTTTTTGTTGACCTTGGGTGTTCCTCACGATGCCTGGGAAGGGTGGCCTGACAGGAAGGCCTGCGGTCAGAATGGCTGCTGTTGGTGCTATATTCGTTTGCCTAACTCAGTGCATTTGGTTTTGTTTGCCAGACTTGAATGCTGCTTAATCTAAACTTGTCGTCTTGTAAAAAGAATGTTGGTAAAACTTCACATTTCCTCTTGTCCCATTTTCTTTCAGGTTTTGTGAACGACTCTGTTACTAAATCCATTGTGGCTTTGCGTTTGACTCTGATGGTAAAGACCAGCACCTGTGTTCCAGGGGAGACCCGTGCAAATGACTTGGAATGTTCTGGCAAAGGAAAATGCACCACAAAGCCATCGGAGGTAAGGGGACACTGGGTGGCTTTAAAAATATATACTTATGTAAATGTATTAAACTCCCCCCTCATTTCTGGTTTCAATTGTATACCAGTGTGCCACATGTAGATATATAAATCTCCATATGGCTTTTAAAGTCGTTACAATAAGTTTGTGCAGTGCTACTCCTTCTTGCCTTGTAATGAAGTAGCGATTTTGTGAGAAGTCATCATCATATCTGGTAGCAGAATGGAGGGAAATAGAAGAAAGGAGAGGAAAGCACAGAGTCATTTACTTTCTAGTTACTACATAGTTCCTTCCTTAGCCTTTTCATTTCCCTCATGCTAACAACAGTTACAGAAGTGAAAATAAGTTCCCATCAATAGATGAGTAAATAAAAAAGCTGTGGTATATTTACATAATGGAATACTACTTGGCCATAAAAATGAAGAAAATCTTACTTTTTGTGACAGCACAGATGGACCAGGAAATTATGCTAAGTGAAATAAGCAGGTCAGAGAAAGACAAGTACCATATGATCTCACTTATATGTGGATTCTAATCAACAAAATAATTTAACAAACAAAATAGAAACAGAAGCCTAATAGGTACATGGAACAGACTGACAGCTGTCAGAGGGGAGCGGGGTTGGGGGGCTGGTGAAAAAAGGTGAAGGGATTAAGCAAAAAAAAATATGTATATGACACATAGATGCAGACAACAGTATGGTGATAGCCAGAGGGAGCAGGGAATGGGAGGAGGTGGAGGGGGGCAGAGAGGGGAAAGATAGGGTGGAGAGAGACTTGGCTTTGGGTGGTGGGTGCTCAGTGCAGTGTGCAGATGATCTTTTGTTGAGTTGTACTCATGAAACCTGTATGGTTTTGTTGACCAATGGCACCCCAATAAATCCAGTAAAATTTAAAAAAAAAATATAGAAGGAATGGAGAAGAGGCAGGGATGAGAAGGCTGACATTATTTTTGACCTTTGTGGACCAGCGTCCTCAACACTATGGAAGACCTGAGTCTTGTTCCCCATTTTCTTTAGTGGCTCAGCTTCCAGGGGCAGGGGCCAAGGGGCAGGGCCTGAGGAGAGTTCCTCCTCCTGAACTTCTGGTGAGTGACGGGTCCAGGAGTCAGCCCAGCAAAGGGCTGCAGTAGCCACTGAAGCCAACTACTCTTGGTCTAGGAGTCCCTTAGGACACTGGCAGACGGACCCCAGGCTCCACCTCAGCGGGCCGGAGAGGGAGGCTCTACCGCTTCCGGGGGGTCGCTCCACTAGGACACACCCGCCCCGCCTACCACGTGCTGCTTCTGGGTCCGGCACCCTTGTGTCCACTTCCCTCTCCCCAGTTCTACACAGATTCCCATTGGAGTTTATGTCAAGTGAAAGTGGGTCCCACAATGGAAAAAGAGTGTGATTTGTTTTAGACCAATTTTAAGGGTAGCACTTTGGTAACGTCAGCACCTTCAGTAATAGTGGCATGAACCTGGACAAGTAGAAGGACCGGAGTAACTGACAAGAGGGATGTTGGAAGGCATTGCTCACGTCATCTTGGAAAACCCGCAATTTTGATGTATTTTAGGTGTCATATTTCAGTGGCTCACATATACCATTTATCTTTAAGATATCTCCTGTAGGGGGCAGAATGTTGTCAGAACCCAAGAAAGCAGCGGGAATGAGAATTTCTGCTAAATCTTAGAAAAGGAACACAAACGTAAACCAAAGCTAAAGACAAAATCCCTTGGGGAGGGGATCGTGCCTGGCGTAAAGCCAGGAGGCGAAGCCTGAGGCTTCCTTTACTGAGCCGAGCCTGCCCTGTGGGTCTGTTTCCCTCTGTCTCAGCCAACTTGGACCCAACGCTTCTCTCTCTTGAGGGGAAGGTTCATTTGTCAACTTATTTTATGGGGGGAAAGGAAGGACAGTAGTAGTTTTCTGTGACAATCAAGGCTAGGGTGTAATCCCTTGAGAAAAGATGAGGAAATAGTAGAAGAGTGTTGGACCTTTCCAATAAGGCTGCAAAGAGGGGACACATGGGTCTTCCCCAAACTCACTCTCAGTCTTCCCTGCGAATGGTTCTGGGGCCTGATCAGCCCTTAACACAATCATATCAGCAAACGAGAAATGTGTTAAGCAAGGGCCAGAGCACTGTTCTCAGAAGTTTGGACTGACAAAGGGATTAAGATTCCTTGGGAGCTTCCTCTTATAATGGATGAGCCTTCTGGGGAAACTTCTCAGCACCATTACCGTGTTTCGCCAAACATCACGTTGCCAGCGTGCAGCCGCACACAGCTCCCCCGGCATGAGCGCCCTCGCTAAGAGGCTGTGCCTGCTGATTTAGAGATGACTCATTGCAAAAGCAGTGCGAGTGGTTAGCACTGCGCAGGTCCCTGGGAAAACCTTGGGAAAACACTGGGAAAACAAAGCGCTTTGTGCTCCATGGAACAATGACTCAAAAGCCTTAGCAAGGAATCCATGCTAATTTTCGCAGATAGTTGCAGAGAAAACATATCTTTACTGTGGGCACCAGCTCTTTGGAAAAGCTTTGCATGCCTCCCCCCAGGTGACACCTGCTGTTCCCACCACCACCTCCCAGCTCCACACAAGTTGCGTCTAGGGTATGGAGCTTCTGTTGTTGCTGATTTGGTGAAAGCCCACTTGAACCTTCAGTGAATTTAAAGAAACTGTGGCCAGTCCTCTTATTGGAGCCATTATAATTACCCATGGTGGCTGTAAGCGAATGATTAGGCTGAAATTACCATCATGTGCATTCATGGGCTCATTACTGTGTTGTCTTGGAGAGAAGCGTCTGGAAGCCATTCCTACAGTTCACAAAAAGGTGGCGGGAGTTATACTACCATTGGCAGGAGTGGCAATGGAAAGGTTATCTGTTTTGTGTCTACGTGAGTTTCTGTGGCTTCATGTGATTGTTGTTGTGATTTATGTGCCATGTGCTAACAAGGAGAGATGGTTATCATCAAGTTTGTTTCTTTTCCCTCTTTCCTAAAGTTAGAAGTTATACAGTCCAATGTTTCACTAGTGCAAGAGTCTATTCTATAGTACAAAACAGAAGGAACTATATGATGGTTTAATTTATATTGTTTCTAACCACTTTTATAACTTTTTATTAGATCGTGCCTCAAAACAAATGCAGTTGTGTTATTACCATGCTGCTCTCATTTGGTAATGGGACTCATTTCTTTCCTGTCAGTTATACCTTGGCTAGAGGATACTTCACAGGTCTGAGTTGATGGCTGGTTTGTCATGAAGCTTCAGCTTGCTGTTGTTCTGAGATGTCTCACTATCTGGGGAATTTCTTTTTAAATGTTTACAGAGGAGCTCTGTTTTTGAAAATTGCTTTTGTTACAAGGGATGACTCTGAAGTTTTCTTTTCCTTCTAGAAAAATTGGACCCTTGGCCACTACTTCTCTTTGACTGTTGTTCAAAGGTTGGCTGCTGCCTATTTGATGTTTCCTTAATGGCCTTAAAGGCGTGTTAGGGAGCCACACAGGCCTCTCCTGGCGGGGGGCCTTAAGTCTTCTTTTGGTCCAGTTAAGTTCCGTGGACCCCATCTCTCAAGGGCAAGAGATATGTAGTAGTCAGTGTTCTTCAAAGAAACAGAACCCATTGGAGAAATATATGTGATTTATTTTAAGGAATTGGCTTATTGTGGATCCATTCATTGTGGCGTCTAGTGAGTTCAAAATTTGATCAGGGAGAGGCTGGTGGGCTGGAGCCTCAGGAAAGAATTGCAGTTCAAGTCTAAAGACAGTCTGCTGGTGAACCAGGGAAAGCTCATGTTGCAGATGAAGTGCAAAGACTCTTGGGAGAACTCCTTCTTGCTTAGGGGAGGTCAGCCTGTGGTTCTTCTATTCATGCCTTCAACTGATTGGATAAAGCCCACCCTTATTATGTGGGACAATCTGCTTTACTTAAAGTCCACTGATTTAAAGGTAAATATCATCCAAAAACACCCCTATAGAAACATCCAGGATTATGGCTGACCAAAAATGTAGGCACCATAGCCCAGCCAAGTTGACATACAGAATTAACCTATCACAAGATTTTCTCTCCAATTTATTGTTGCTCCCTTTCTACTCAGTTGCATCTTTTGCCCACAAAATGAAAGTTGTTTTAAAATTTAATTTGCCTAAGATTCTCCCGAGGCCCATGACGGAAAGTCATATTGCAGGCCCCTCTCTCGGGTTATGAGGCCTTTTGTTAGGCAGCCTGGTGGTTCCGATGGAGAAGTAGACTGTGGACCGTCATTCTGGAAACAGAGATCTCGGGGGGCAGTGCTTATCATCTTCCCATTCTTGCTGATTCCTTAAAGCAACTAAGCAACATCTTTTATTCAAGGATCTCACTGCTAATAAATTCAAGGTCATATGGAACTAATAAAAAAAGATACATGCTGAAAAGTGATATAACGATTCAACACATATCCCAACACTCTTTCATTTGTTGAACCTGGTTTATATGGATAGATAAATGGGGTCAGGCCTCCATTCTCAGAAGGTTCCTTAGAAATCTCTCTAGTGCTTGCCTTAGGAATCCATCATCTGTAGGCTATTTGGATCAGATACTAGAGCTGACTACTCAGGCTGTGTTTTGAGAGAGAGCTGAGTGGGCATCATGGCTGGGAGCCGTCCCCAGTTCCTTCTAGAGCCTGTATCTTAATTCTGTCTCTAGATGTGGGCCTGTACATGAGAAAAGCACTAGCATATTCGGCTCCTGAAGATCCCTGACCTTCCATTACCTCCCTCCGGCTCTTGGAAGTCAAAGGCACAAGTTCCAGAAAGTCGTAGTCTTCCTATGGCTGAGTTCTTGTGGTTGGGTTTGGTTTACTGGAAATAAATCACTGACCTGCAGTTGTTTTTCATCCATCACTTGTTAACACCCCATGTCCTGTTCCCCAGCCAATGTGGTCAGGGCCGATGACACTACACTTCCCTGATACTCATTTATTTTTCTGTTTCAGAAGCAGGTGGCTCTTTGTTAGGGCTTGCAGTAAATTCCCATTTCTGAG